GAATCACCATCAGATTTGATTAAATCCCTATGGTATTTCAATCAGGTTCTGCCTTTATGGTCCTGTGAGAGAACAATGCAGGGAAAAGTACAAGCTACTTGAAGCAATCAGTGAAAGTGGGTGAAAAAGGAACAAATAAATAAATCAACTCTGTTTTTTAAAGCGCCTCAACAAGAGCCAAGCAATAACTTCTCAATGATATTATTTTTTTCTTTACATTGGTAATGATAATTCTCTTAAACGAAAACTTTTTGTAAGAACAAGTAACTGCCTATGAAACTTTTGAAGGTTAAGGTTTCTTAGATCTACATCACATCTGTTCCTAAGCTTTCTTAAATCTACATTATCTCATGTTGAGAATGAGGCAGTCCAGTTCAGAGCACTGCAGATACGATGTTCATTTGAAATGGAAGAGCACTGTTCTTAGGTCCTGTGCTCAACTGGGCCAAGCAGCAACTTTTGTTACTCTATCCAGGTCTTGAGGCCCAACTGCTGCTGGAGGACTCCTTCTCAGTCCTTAGCATACTCGTGCCACTGCAAATCCCTCGTCAGACAGGCAGAGCCTGTGTTTGTATGGCTGGAAACATCTACGTGTGCCCTGTCTCTACCACACTGAAACACCTCTACCACACTTTTCCACCTGGCTGCTTAGAACTTGGAAAAATCTATGGTTGCCACTTCTGCAGTGCAAATTAATGCTTAGACAAATGGCCTTTACATCAATCAAGTGTACAGCAACTCCAAGGCAAACAGCAGCTACTCTAGGCAAAGCAACCACACAGCTAGTCTCACAGGGAAACGGTATATTACAGCCAGTCCAAACACCTTCGCTTAACTAAAATCTTGAACATGACTTTGCATTATTCTAAGCTAAAATTGGGACATAACGTGCTCTATTATTTTTTGTAGCATGTTTTTCTTAATATGAGCCAATTCAATAATGAATAATCTCAAAAACTGTTATGCATCTTACAGGGAATTTTATAAATCTTAACTCCCGAGTGCTAGCAGACATAGTCAAAATCCTGGTAAAGATCCAGCAATTCAGCTATTTAGTCCTTCATATTTGTTCCATTTAATTCCAGGATTTCAGGGTAACTATTGCATGAAAGGATGAATTTTAACTGTAGACTTGACTTCAACTGCATTTTGATACTAAAATCCTGGTGTCGTAATTTATCAAGGAGTGTGCCAGCTCAGAACAAAAAAGGCGCATCCTGGGATCAGTACAAAATACTGAAACTACTAGCCTCACACATACCCCTCAGCTAGGAAACATGAAGCACCTCGTGCCTCTTTTCTTCTTCATACAAGTCCTGTGAAAAGCAAGAGAATTAATCTGCAATATCCTATTTAGATTTCTTTGAAAGTGATGCAAACATTTTTTAATGCTTTGTCAACACTGATTATAGAACTACCTTGTAAAGATCTTAATTAAGGAGAAGGGAATAGACTCACTTACTTGGCACAGGTGTGCTTGCAGTATCTTTCTATTGTGTCTGAATTAATTGTACCAGAAGAGTCCTTCTGTACTGTGTCTAGCTGCCCCAAACAAGAGATCAAAGCCCTTTGACATTTACCCAACTCATGTGATCCATTTTTTCCCACTGTATTTCATTAGTGATATGTCAGGCAGATCTTTGCAGACACATTAAAGACTGCAGCCACCTTCCTGCTGAGTGGGAACTCTATACATGTCTGGGGACTGAAAGGGCTGGGTAGATGGCACATTAAGGCATAATGATGGTTTATGTCTGTTGTGGTCTCCAGGCACTTGGTAAATATTCAGCACCCATACAATGATCAGAAGCCGGCAGAACAGGTTTCTAAACCTTCCTGAACATAATATCCAGGGTTAATTGGCTATGGAAGTTTTTTTGCCCCTTTTCTTTCTCAGATGGCCTCCTGCTAAGAAAGGGGTGGAGAGATTTCCTCAGGTCTGACAGCCTGGCTGCCCCAACCAATTAGACAGTGACTCCATGTGTTTGTGCAGGTATGCACCGTGGGCAAGAAGGCAAAGGGAGATGTGAATTTGTAGGCCACTCTGACTACCACAATAAAGGCTACAGTGCAGTGCCCATATGGGAAAGACATTGAGACCAAACGTCTGATGACTTATCCATAGGATGGAGCAAAAGGTTTTGACAGAGGGCACTAAGAGGAGCAAAACAGGCTGGGCCATTCATTCATGCTTCAACCTTGAGAAATTTTTTTTGTGCCTTAACCTCTGTTTATGCAGTTTGCAAAGTATTTTCTAAACACCCGAGACCAACTGTTCATGCTCTGAAGGGCCTTTATCTATGGCATGGACCACAGAGATTTCACTAGCTGAGTTTTATACCAGACATTAAGAGAATTTTCACATGAAATCAAGTCAGAAAACTTGCAGTGGAGCATGAATAATTCTTTTATGAAATCTTCCCCTCACTTCCTTTTTATTCTTTCTTTTTTCTCAGAATCTTTTTTTTTTTTTTTTTGACAGCTCCCTACTGTCGCCACCAAGGAAGGAAAAACATGCAGAAGCATCCTGATTTTGTAGCTAAACAACACAGGAATTTAGTCCCAGATCTCTGCATCTAGGTTGATATTCTTCCTTCCATTTCTGTCCTCTCCCTGGAAAAATCACCCCGGAGTGAGGCGTTATTTTTCAACTTTAAAACACTGTACTCCAGTTTTTGGAATGGCTGCACAGCAGTTACACCACACAACCAACAGGATCATACTAAGACAGTGTTGGTCCGGGAATGGCGAATATCATAGAAGCCAGCACATTTTCTTGAGGAAGGCCATCAGGTGTGAGATTAAATTCAAAGCATGTGCATGTCTAACCACAGGCATGTGAATCTTTGATGGTCAATTATAGGTAAACATGGCAATTTTAGGCACTGATAATTTATTTTGAGATTAACATTTCCTACACTATTCATGCACAAGCTACTGAAACACAAGTAACTCCTGGCTCAGAGCTTCACTTCTAGTTCACAGTTCACCTCACTAACATTTCTGAATTGTGATGCTATTTAATGATAATGAGCCTGTCTGAGCATGCTCTATTTCCCACCTGGTTTAAGGTCTGTTCCAAAGCCCACTGAAGTCTCTATTTGTCTCTGGATCAAAACCATTAGCCCACAATACTTTTATAACAGAACCATTATCTTATAGAAAAGCTCTGTGGAATCTAATATTGATGAAACAAATGAAGAACTATGAAAAAATCCTACTGTAGGCTCTCAAAGAGCTTGTTGTAGCTTAATAGAAGAGGTGATTCACTCCTTAAAAAAAAGAAAAAAAGAGAAGAAAAAAAGAAAAATCTGTTTGTACCTTTCTTTACATTTGTATAAAGGCAACAGCCAACACAGGTTTGTTGTTTTGTGGCCATAGAGGCCTTTCTGAACAGAAGATCGCAATTTTCCATTTCTTGTGCTTTTCTCTCCCAATTCTGTGTTGTAGGCTGCTGCCCACAAGTGCCCTGACTTTGCCTAATGTACTCTCATGGCCGGTGGGAACATCTCACACACTGCTAAGTGCTTTTGATAAATCTTCTCTGGCTCCACTCCCTGACCCCACTTCATCTCCAAATTGTTTGCTACAGAAATGAGCAAGCACTCACAGGCACTGTGGTGGTGGCTTCTCACCTCTGCAAGTCTGCCACATCCCTTGGTCCATCGTCTACCCCCATGCAGAAGAAACCAACCCCACATTCCCTAAGCTAGAGCAGGAGCAGCTGATGAAGAGAACTGCTTCAGAGGTTTTATACTAGGACTGAACATACTCCTATAGTTAAGGAATTCTCCGTATGCTATTTGCAGCCCTTACTCAATCCTAAGTATGACCACATAGCAGGTCTACACCACGTAAGTTTATATTTCCTGATCCTGCCTAATTCTTTCTATTTTTTGCAGGCAGTAGGTTTGAGCTTGCACATGTATACCTCAGACAGCCTCATTCATTACGTTCCCTGGGAAAAGTAACCGCTTCAATTACCTTGTACAACATGGGTCTGAATAAATCCCTGCTTGGAAACACGTACTTGGTTTTCAGAGGGTGCTGCTAGAAGTGTTAGCAGCATTCCAAGTGCTGCAGTAGACTTCCACACCACAAACACCATTTTATATCCTTTACAACTGTGCACATCTAACAGCAAACAATAAATCTATCTTGCTAATTACACATTCAGCTTGTTATAACTGTCGTAAAACAAGTACAGCTGGTAAAGCTATGAAATGATGTCAAATCATATTTCTGCTTTCTAGAGAGAAGCTGGGTTATTTTCCAGTCTCCTGACGAAGTTGACTGTTCAAAGCCATGTGTGGAAACAGCTGCCAACTAGGTCATCCACCTTTAATTAGGTAATGATATTGTCTTTTTTCCTGCCCATTTAAAAGTGTTTGACATTCTGTAATTCCAAGTGACTTAAGTGTTTATCATAAAAAGCTGCCTTAGGAAGAAATTGAAGCACATGGTACTAAATTAAACACCAAGCATTTTCTTCTGAGCAGCCAAATTCAGTCTGTTCATACACAGAATGTTGCCTCAAAAAATGTAATTGCCAGTATTTCAAAGAGGGTATCTGAAGTTAGGATAGTTAAAGATATTGTTCCTAAAGCCTCTTAAAAATATGTGCTTCAGCAGCCGTGCAGGAAGAGGAGTCAATGTTCTCCATAGCAACCTAAACTGACTAACACAAGATCTTTCTTAAAAACAGTTACCTGAGATTCAAAAGAAAACACCAGTTTGACAGAAAACATTACTCATTCAGGCCAGTTACTGCCCTGTACCAGCTAGATAGGCTCTTCCTTGCAGAAGAAAGAGTCAAAGCACATCCTGATGTCCTATTTAGCCGTAGCCAAACAATACAAGCCTTTAAAAACAAGGAGCTACTTGCAACATAAAAGGAAGGTAAATTAAATATTCCTGTAAGAAGAAAATACCACAGGACATATTTATACAAATGTATCTGAATAAAATCAGCAGCATTTGTTAAAAAAATTAGGTTTTACCTTCCCATATCTGGATGCAAAGGTTCCCGTGAGTAAGGAGTGAAAAATAATTATCGTCTCATCCAGATCCCACACAAATACACGCTGTGATGACAGACAGGGTGGAAAAGAGAAATACAGTTACACATTATGCAATTGCAAGAATTTGTTCAGTCAGGAAATACGTCCAAGTGGACTACAACTTTTTAAGATCTCACGCCCATGTGGCACATTGATTGCAGATGCTTTGTGAAAGCAGGCAAAAAAACAGATCAAGAAATTTGAAACTATGTTTCTGCTGATCACCCAGAGAGTTTGCTTTCCTAACAACTACAGAAATTCCTCGTTGCATGTTAAGACGGATGATGCATTTTGTAAGCAGGCTTACAAAAAACAAGTTTTTTGCATATACACATACAAAGAAGAATCGGAGATGCTAATAATACAGAAACTGAGCAATTATTTTGACTACCCACAATAAAAGGCTCCAATTATATTGCTAATACTATTCTGGCTCTTACAATTCACTAGTTTGCTGACGGGGTTTGCTGATAGATGCAACTGTTTCTCTTGCAGGATTTACTAAGGGAATGCAAGTTAATTTTATTACCTCAATCTCACTGTCAGCAGTGGGGGAAGGATCGTTGCTTCTTTTTGATCGGGCTCGTACCTTGCCATCCGACCCTCTGTGATGTCTGTCTGTTTCTATATCTTTTGCTGGGGTTGTTCCATATTCTCCTATTGGGAGAATTAAATACAAATTTAAAATTAAATTTTGCACTGTCTCATTATAACTAAAGCAGGAAGCCGCTTAGTGGAGAGCAGCAAGATTGCTATGAAAACAATTTTAGAAGATCTTAATTTTTTCATGTCAAAAGCTGACAAAGTTAGAAAAATAATTTAAAACTTCTAAGAGTTTGCAACAATTTCAAAAAACACCGAGCGTATATAGGAAAAAAATAGATGTGACAGTTCAAAAACATAAGCCCATTTTTCATTAAAAAAACAAAACTTTTTAAAATTTATTCCCCTCTCCGCCCTTTGCTTGAGAAAAATTAGAAATGCAGGAGAAAAGTAAATTAAACATATGCAAAAATGTCTTTTTTTTTAAATTTGATAAATGCTCAGGATTGAAAAGATACTTTCAATATCACCTTATATTTATAAAATATATGTATAGTCTGTTTAGCTATATTCCATTTCACCAGCTTAGAAATAACTGAGCAGAGGCAGACAAAGGTGAACTTCCCTGTATGATGTTTTTGTTTTGCATGGCTTGAGTTTCATAAACCTGCCCAGATTTCACTTACCTTACATTACAAATCCTTTTCAAACATATTTTTCTTTTCACCTTGCTAAGCTGTGGCCTCTCCAGCTTCCTTGAATAACCATATTCTTCTTCAGAGAAGCTTGGATTGTGCCTAACAAGCCTTTTATGAAATCACTTTCTCAAAAAAGCTGAGATAAGATCTAAGGAACAGAAAATCCTCCAACTGCTTTTAGAGCAATCTGTGACTGCTTCTTTTTAACAACCAGTATTAGTTTATTTTTCTTTCAGAGCAACCACAGATGTTCAGATTTGTTCCATAAGTCAGCAGACCTACAGTGGGCGTATACTGTGATCATCCTCAAATTATGTGGCGTTCTATATAACTGTTATTGCATGCCAATGAAAACTTGAGTAGGGAAGTGATATTTGAAGATTTTTCTTGAACAGTGCATTGAAGGATCATAATCGGTCAATAATTCCACAAACCATTTAAGCCATGAGACTTTAAGAATTAAGTGCTCAAAGAGAGGCCACCAATTCTTAAGTCTTTCTACACAGACTTTGTCTTGAACTTTTAACTTAGACAAACAGTTTGTGTTGATTTTTTTTAAGAGAAACTTTATGTACTTATTTATGAATGCATATATTATAGATTGTTAGAAGTGAACAGAAACTTTGACAGAGATGTGGGCTACTGAGGAAACTGGGGCTTTTTCAGAGCATGGCCACTTGTTTTGAACTTACTTCTACACATATTAACACTAAGGATTGATCTGGCTTTTGCGTGTAATTATTTTATCTTTCTGTACTACCTTTAGAAGGATCAAACTGTGCGTCCTCATGAAAATGACACAGGATAGTCTTACAGAGGCTGTGTTTTCTGATCTCTTCCCAAAACTGTCATGAGCAGAACTGTCACATGCTAGGAAATCTGATTTCTCAGTGTAAATATAGGTACTAAAAAAACATTCAAAACATCCAACAGTAAGGTTACAGTACTTATGTCTATGGAGGGCAGGCACTGCAAACTGAAAACAAAAGAAAAGCACTCACCAGACAGCGATTCTGTGCTCTGACTGGTGATGTTGTGAGAAGACTCCTGCAGAGAATAAGTGGAGGTTGGGATGGCTGAAGGGCTGATGCTGTTTGTGGACATGTAGGGAGAGTTGTAGGAGGAGCTGTAATACTGTGAATACTGGCTTTGAGGAAAGCTCGGGTATGATGAATATTCCTTTGAGGAAAAAAGAAACATGTAATTTCTGTGTATCACCAGTTTTATCTTATAAATAAATGAGTAAGGCATCACACACACAGCAAGTCAATGTTAGCTACACAGGCAGCAAGCCCTGGCTCAGGAATATTTTTGCTAAAGAACTATGTTTTGTTCACTTCAGAAATTACATTTATCCTTGTCCCAGATATATTCCTACTTTATTAAGATTGGCTGACCTCAACATGAGGTCAGATATCAGGCAATTTCTGCTTTTTCTGTAGGATTTGATTTATCAGTGCTGACACATCTTGCATTGCAGGGCTCAACAATTCTATACAGAAATAAAGTAGGTTGCATTTTGCTGTGATCAGCAGCATTTTCTGATCAGCTTTTAGAATGGGATATGAAAAAAGAAATGAATCTAACAATTGCTTTGCAGAAATGCTCACACATGAGATTGTCCTACTGCCTCTGCAAGATCTAAATGCCAGAATGATATTCTCTGTCTGTAGAAAACTGTACTGAAATCACAAGGTGCAAGTGAACTTGGAAAGCTGGGATATGATGATACTCTTTGTCTTGATGTTAAGGATCCCAAACAAATTTGTAACACCCTGTCCATGTGTTCTTCTTTGTGGGAAATAAGATGTGGAAACAGATTAGGAAACTTATATCTGGGTAATTAAAATATAAAAAATTTCATTTGTTTCTTCTGTTCATCATCAGAACTCCTGGTCTTGTTCACTTATTCGCTTTTTCAGGCATAGAACTGTATTCGTGCTCTGGGGATTGTCCTTCAACAAAAGGTTTTTGTTTCCCCAGAAATGGTAATTAGTATCTGGTCTTAAATAAAATTAAATAATAAATAGTATTTAGAAACACTAAAAGCCCTTTCCTTTTTAACTGCTTACATTTTTGTCTGTGGCACAGCTATTTCATTAGCTCTCAGTCACCAGGGAGCTCTCAAGAATAGAAATGACTCAAGTGATTAAAATAAATATTAAGCTGAAAAAGAAGTGAGAAATTCCATTGTTTTCTCTTTAAGAATATCACAAAATGATGAAAACAACACACTTATTTCTCCTTTTTGCAGGTAAGCTCTATACTTGAATCAAGTGCGCTTATTTCAGCATTTATTGACCACTTTTTTAGCCAAAACTGAAGTAATAATGAAATTGCCCACTGTTGTCATTTGAAATATGAGACATAACAACCATCTTGTTGACAAGTAATTGAAATTATTACTCCATGGCTAACTGAAAACATTTTTGGGGATAGCGTACTCATTTGTTCGGTCCAATCAAGAAAAGTCATCTATTACTGCAAAAACATCTGTCTTGTGCATATATGCATGCTGTTTATTTATACACACACATTTCTCAAGGTATCTGAAGCATGAAGCCCACAGACAGGTGTACTCTCAAAGAAGGAAGCACAGAGACAGCTCAGATGGCTCAGTATTCGGTGCCTGCCAACACCTCTTTCAATATGTTCCTATTTATTACACAGTGCCAAGATAGCAGAGGATAAGATCCTAAAAGGGAAGTGTTCTGCTCTGGAAAACATATCTGAAAGTTGCAAGATGGCAGAGGAGTGATGAAACTCTCAGCATCGCTGTGCGGATGCACAGAGACTGCCAAGAGTCCTTCAAGGACTGCATTCTCTCTTTGTATTTTGACACACGTTTTAAAGCTAATGAAGATACAACAGTTCAACAAATGGCCATACCACTCACGTACACCAAAATGGTGCTAGGTAAAACACACAGTAGAACTTTTCTTAATTATATGTAAACACCAGGATAATCTCTCTGATCTGCCAGTATTCTAGGTGTTTAAATTGGTTGACAAGGTTGCCAATAATAAATGCTGAGATATACCTGATGCACAGCACTGAATCCAGCAGAATTTGTCAGGCCATTGGCTCCCTGGTAAATCCCTGTTGTGCCTAAGGGAAAGAATATCACACTCATAACACACAGTAGTAATCAAAACAATAGAATATTGTTAAATGAAGATTTTCTAATAAAGTACCTAGAAAAAAAAGCATATCACAAACTATGGCTGACATAAGTGTTAAGACTGGGGTCTGCTTACTGAAAGACATTCAAAGACAACAATTAAATACACTGAAACAAACATTTAAGGAGCTGGGAAACAAAGCTGGAAAACAAGGATTCAACTCAAGTTTAAAATTCAGACAGGTTTCTATGCCACCGCAGAGAGCAAAAACATTGCTTCATCCTTGGATACTAGGAAGAGAAAGGATGGACAGGCAATTTTTTTTTTACATAGTTACTTCCCAATGAAATATCTAATGTCCAGCCAAGATTACTTAGCTGGGTGAAGCATTACTACAAGAATTTTATGGGTGGAGAAGTAAAGGTTCAGAAAGGTTCTGTACGGACAGTCCTGCTTTGCCAGATTACTGAGATCTTCTTATCTGCTGGATCTCATTCCTCCAGCAAGTCCTAGCCCTGTTTTAACTCCAGTCTAGGCTATTTTCTATTTTAAAACTTCTCTCTTCTCATGGGTGGAAAACTTCCTTTTGAGATCAAGTGAGGCGATAACAATCTATACCAGAAGTCTTCTTCTGGTGTCTACAGTGCTGTTTGCTCCAGAAGACAAGCTATTCATGTACAAGAGGAGAAAGCTGGACAACGCTGTACTCCATCCTAATGCAAGGTCCTGGATACCAAAGGGTTTTCACATCTTCCTGCTTCCACAGTTACCTAAATTTGGTGAAAGATGTATGATTTTGTTGCTGTATGGTCACAATGAAGTCTTATCTAGGCTTCATTTTGTCACAGTCAGGTACTGAGCCTTTTTTTCTTCTTACCCTAAAAATGATTTTGAGCAGCGCTGTGTTAGCCACGTATCCCTCCATGCCTTCATGTGGCATCCTTTCTCTAGAGATCCACTTGCTTGTTTTTATTTTAAGACACCAGATTAGCTAGGGAATGGACAGCTGAACAAACTCTACTCTGCCAAGTGCAACTACAAAGCACATGCAGTAATAAATAAATCTCACACCAAAAAGAAACAGGAGGGAAGAAGCCTGCCTTCCAAAACTAATTTGCTGCCACATGTAACCGAGAAGGAGAAAGAGGGTGCAGGTGACTGCTGGGTCCCTAAGGCCTCCTTTGCATACTGGCTGGGGAGAGCTGAGCCAGTGCAGGTGGGTTTGGGGCATACCATTCCGTGGCATTCAACCCTCAGAGGCAGCTCTGGGAGGAAAGCCAACACAGTGCCCAATCCTCCTCCTCCGCACAGCCCATATGCTGAGAACACCCAGAGCGGCATCCTGACAACGGGATCACATCCAGCTACTGGCATTTCCCCACCTCCACCCATGCTAGGCTTTGCTTTTCTGTATTTTGTAAAAAGCAACGAGCACACAGCAGGAGGAATATATTCCTGTGGTAGCTATGCATTTCTCACCACTGTGAAGGGGAGTAATAGAGCCCCAGTGCTTACAGGCAGAAACAACTTTCACAGAACACAGACAGCTCTTGTACACCAGCATTTAAAACAAAGCAGGGGGGGATTTTTGATCTTCCTAAACTGTCATTTAATAACAATCCATCATGCTTTATTAAAGCTGTCAAGAGAGGAAAGAGTTACCTCAAGGGACTCACGCTTTATGTGTAAATTGTGATGAGAACATGTTTATTGCTGTGCTACCTGCACATGATACCACAGCTTCCTGGATTCCAAATGATTAGAGGGAATTATGAAAAGAAGGAGAGACCTGCACTGTAGGAATGAACTTGCTCTGAGCTTCCAGCAATGCAACCCAAGTGTGTCTCCACACACACAGTTGTGTGAGCAGAAAGAAAAGAGTAAAAAACACAGAGGTGAGAGGATGGAGATTGACTCATGCTCCACAGCTTCTCACAGTGCACAGTGACTAGATCCTACATAGCGGATTTTGCACTCTGGTTTTGTGGAATACTTTTGAAAGTGTTTAAGCCTGACATTTTCCCAAAACCTTAAGTTCAGCTGGCCTGGGAACAGGTTTTAGCAAATCAGGTTTTTCACTTCTGTCCCCTGACATATCCTCACCAATCAGGAGTATTCATTCACTATCACTTGTCTGAACTGAGAACTGTTTTATTTTCTCCTCCTCCACTGCATTAGGAGAAGGCAATGTCCCCCTCTAATACCCCAGGAATACTCTGAGAGAGGCTAAGCTCAGTATTTCTTTGCAGCTCAGCCCTGTTATAGCAGAATAGGTACAGATAAATAACCTTGGGCAACCAGGAAAACAAAGCTGGTAAAAATTCAGAAGTTCTTCTTAGCTGAATAAGGATGAAAATTTAATGGGAAAAATCAATTATCAGCATGGAAAAAACTGTTCTTGAAAATTCAGGTTCAAAAATATTTCATTTTAACTGCACTCAACACCAATGCTTATGAGGACTAGAATCATCCGATAGGAATGCTAGCTAAGTCTCTGCTTGACTTTACAGGCTAGACATTCTGGAGAGACGAGATTTTCAATGATGAAAAATCCATTCAGATGGAAAGAAAACAAACAACAGGCAATGAAGATAAGGATAAAACCTCCTTTATCATCTAACAAAAGGCAGAGAATGAGACTCACCATTTAGTTACTGTGAAAAGCCTTCCAAATTTGAGCCATACATAACATACATACATCAAAACTGGCTCCAAGCTTTTGCTTTTTCCTCCCTAAATCGTTGATAAGAAATAAAAATTCCAGTAATAAAATGAGCCTGCTGCATGCAATTTCAGTTTTGCATCCGTAAAGTAGCACTGGAAAATTATCAACAAACCTTGCATCCTGATGTTAGCTATTATCCCTATTCCCCATTTAGCCATTTTTATAAAGTGCTAAAGACAGAATCTTTAGCAGGGTGTGTTGTGATTGGACAAGGGGAAATGCTTTCAAAATAAAAGAGGGGAGATTGAGATTGAACATAAGGAAGAGGTTTTTTAAAATTAGGGGTATGAGGCACTCGCACAAGTTGCCCAGAGATCTGGTGAATGATCTGGAGGCATCCAAAGTCAGGCTGGACCAGGCTTCGAGCAACTGATCTAGCTGTAGAAGTCCCACTGTTCCCTGCAGAGGGGTTGGACTAGATGATCTTTAAGGGTCCCTTCCAATTCAAATGATTCTATGATAATAGCACATGTAATGTTCAGAGATGTGCAGGAATAGCATCAGAAAAGTGTGGTTATTTGCAGTGGAGCACTTCTAGGAAGCCACTGAGTAAGCAATGTAATAAATGCCTTGCCCCTTCCCATTTCTGAATGCTTACTTTCCATTATCACAGGACTTTCACTTCCAAATATATTGGCATTATATACATATATATATGGTATATATTTTCCTGACTTCTGAATAAGGCACACTGTTTCAAACTGCAGCTGATTTTACACTTGCAATACTGTAGATGTGCAAGCAAGCCACTTGTTTTTATCTATCTTGGTAGTTCAATATTGAGTAATTACATTTAAATTCCTGCTTGCAAATCGGAAGCAAGCCTGCAATCTCTCCTTTTGGATCTTCTCCATATGGAATATGGTTCACATCTGCGTTCAATCACACCAGTTGCTAAATGTCACAATGCCCTCATTCACAGGTAGCTTAAAGAACAGTTAGCTGGTAATAAAACAATCTGGATTCTGGAGAATAGCTCTTCAGATGTATGGTACTGAAAACGTTCCCTTTAAAGTATGGGTATCACAAACACACTCGCATGAAAAAACACCACATAAAAGCCATGCATATGCTGTACATATTCAGTGCCATGGCTTCTCCTTGATAAGTAGATGTGGCCTTTCTCTATATCAGTGTCCAAGGGCAATATTTATAGAGAAACTCTTTGTGAGCTGATTGATGTTATATATTCATACACATGGATTTCATTTGCTATGTCTCCCTCCTTCCTATTTTAATTCAAGTATTTTAAAGTCCATAACATGGTCAAGAGTAATTCAATGATGTGTGCATTGCTCCTGCAACAATATTCACACCAGCTTCTCTGCTCAGTCTCTCCCCTTTGCTCTTTCCACCACTGCAGTTACAAGATGCATTTCTTTTTTCTCTTTCTTTCACGCAAGGATATGTAAAGAAAACAAGGGGATATTCAGTTATTTTTAGTATTTTCAGAACTATAGCTCTTGCATTGCTAAAAAATGTTTTATTTCAGCTTATGAATACACAGTACAACACAAGAATATCTGTGTCTTAGGAAGTTGTGATTACAGAGATAGAGTGGATCTGTGGTATAGTTCAGATCAATACCATGGCCAACTTTGAAAATTAGGTTTGTGTTCTTGCATTACACAGGTCAGAAGGCCCTGTCATCGGAAGGGTGAAATAGAACAACAACATTTAGATTGAAGTGCTTCCTCTAACTCAAAGATTTGCAGACACAGTGGTTTTAGGTAGCTCTCAAAGGATTATTTGATTATTGATAACTAATAATATGAATGCTTACGGGGTTCAGTTGATTTGCATGATATTTCACAAGCCTGCCTATAATTGCTTGTATATTCTTAGGTTAGCAAGCTGTTTTCCTACAGGAAACAGTGTTGACTACAAATGATACAAGGAAAGGCCTTAGTCTAACTCCCAGAGGAGCATGCATTACTCTATGCTACAAAACACATCTGGATGAAGATTTGCATGGTCATTCAAAAAGGTTCTTTGCAGTACTTTACCTCTATTGACAAGCTAATGTTTCCTGCAGTAAATACTGCATTCTCCAAGCTGCTACTTTTTTAGCCAGAGGTTAAGCACTCCTCAAAATTACCTCCCACCAGCTATACTCAAGTGCCTTGTAATGTTCCAAATCCAACAACATCTGCCTGCATTTATTGGGCAAGAAAGCTCATAAAATGTTGCACGGCTGTCAGCTGTGGAGGTATTTCAAGACTATCTGACCTGTTAAAGGAGAATAAAAACTCAACCCACAT